ATACTGAAGAAGCTGAAGAGTTATAATCCTCTCCCCGCCAGAAGCACTCAGGTCCTTAAGAACAGCATTATAGTCCCATAATTATATTTCCTCTTGAATTTCATGACACCAGCCCATAGGTAAGAAATAGAACACCCAGATGAACCAGAAAATTACACCTTCAGTCTCATATCTCCTGCTTCATTCATTATTATGTCTCTCTCATACAACCTGGGCTTCTAGAAGGAAATACCAAGTACTTTCTGCGTAGACTAGCTTATGGTGAGTGAGTATGTTATATCAAGTGGCAGAGAATGAAGGTAGTATATTGTTTGTGTCTAGGCACACACTATGTCTTGCATTTGAGCTTGGACTCATCAAGGGTACTTTGGAGATTCACTGGGTGCAAGCTGATGATATGACAGATAACCTTCTGCTATAAGATACTTCAAGCTCATTCCTAACCCAGCTCCTTTAACTCGCTTTGCCCTCTGCCTGGAATACGCTTCCTCCAGAACTTCCACCTGACTCTCTTATGATTCAGCTCAAATGTCACTTTCATAGAGAGGCCTTCCTGCCATTCCATATAAAGTAGTATCTACACAATCAGTCACTCTGTCACATTTCACAATTTTATTTTCTTTGTGGCATTTAGCTCTATCTGAAGTGGACTTACTTATCTATATATTTGTTATCTGTCATCCTCATCAGGCTGTAAGCTCCAAGAGAACATATAATATTTTTTAACATACCATCTGAAATATCGTGGTAGACTCTTAATAAATATTGTTGGAATAGGTGAGTGAGCAACAGATATTTATTGAATGCCTAGTATATGTGAATTCTGTTCTAGCACTGGGGATGCAGCCATGAATCAAGCAGAGGAAAATCTCTGAGTTCTTGCAGTTTATGTTTGTGAAACTGATCTTCCCAAAAGGGTCAGAAGGCTTTCTGCCCAATAATTGTCACCTTCGTACTTGCAACTAAGATCAGTTGAGGCCCAATGGGCCTCTGGAGAAAATGTTACCATTTCTTAAAGAAGGCAGATTATTTTAAAAGGAGTGAAGACCCTAGAAATTGAGAAAGAGCTTTTGCCCTTATTTCAATCCTCTTTTTTTTTTTTTTTTTAAGATTTGTTTATTTATTTATACAAGCACTGGGTACAGTCAGAAGTGCAGGAGGGTGAGAGAATTCACCAGAGACAGAGCGGGGAGCAGAACAGGCAGACTGACGAAGTACACTGCCGAGGGGAGCAGCGGGTGGCAGGAGAGGTCTGTGCGCCATGTGGGACCCTCGCCCGGCAGCCAGGGATGAACCAGCGCTGCAGAGGCTGCAGGCAGCTTCGCAGCCCAGTGCTCAACCACTGCGCCACCAGGGGAGGCCCTCAATCCTCTTCTTAATCAAAGAAACAATCTCTGCTCCCACTTTTTATGACCTTAGGGACTGTAGTTTGGGGGGTAGCATTCAAGTGTAGATTTATCAGTGAATGTGTTCTCCCTATCTGAGAAACTCATCTCCCCCCCACCCCAAACTTAGAGTAAAAGATGAGCCATTTTGTCCTTGTCATATGAAGACTCACCCTCTCTCTCTGAGATCTCTGGTCTCTTACCACAGAATATATATCTCTGGTTTACCCCATTTTATGCCAGAATTTACAGCCTTGTAAATTCCCTTACACATATTATTAAATTGATTTTTTTCCTTTGCTTGCCCACCCAATACTGTTTTGATTTTTCATCCAGCCTGAGCAGAACCAAGGGGAGTGAAGGATTTCCCCCTGTAATCCAACACATTCTAACGCAGGGAAACAGAACACAAAGCAGGGAGTGGGAAGCTGCATGGGTGGGGCTATGCTACATTAAGTAGGATAATCAAGGGACAATATTGCTGCAAAGACCTGAACAAGGCAAGGAAGATATGGGGGTGGGGTAGGGGAAGGAAAAGAGCCCTTTAGGTGAAAGGGACAGGAAATGCAAAGCCGTGGAAAACCATGAGAGTGGGCTAATATGGCAAAGCCAGCAAGCTTCTGAAAGAGGGGTTGAGGTGGGGTGCTAGGGGGATTAGCTCCATTATGTAGCATTTTGTAGGCCACTGAAAAGACCCTGAGGGACTCTGAGCAGAGCGTCATGATGTGCCATAGGTTCTAATAGGAATGTCTTTTTTTTTTTCCTGTCCTGAATTTATTTTATTTTATTTTTTAAGTTATTTATTTTTTTACATCATTGTTCATTTTTAAACAATATTTGCTTCCCCCCATGTGTAATCCCCATAGAATTTCCTTCATCAATGCACCCGTGCACCATCACCTCAGCCCCCTGTGCGCCTCCCTCCTGCCCTCTGATCCCTCTCCCGCCTCCTCCCCTGCAGGATGTCTCTAGTTTATGATTGTCTGTTTTTGCTTTGTTGTGTTTTGTACTGTTACTATTTTTTTACTCTGATGTCTTATTTGGTTCCCTTATATTCCTCCTATAAGTGAAACCATCTGATATTTTTCTTTTTCCTTCTGACTTATTTCACTGAGCATAATTCCTTTTAGCTCCATCCACGTTGCTGTGAATGGCATGAGTTTATCTTTTTTGATTGCTGAGTAATATTCCACTGTGTACACGTACCACATCTTTTTGATTCAGTCATCTATTTTTGGACATTTGGGTTGTTTCCAAGTTTTACCTTTTTTTTTTTTTTTTCGTGGGACCCTCGCCGGCAGCCAGGGAACGAACCGGCGCTACAGAGGCTGCGGGCAGCCTCGCAGCCCAGCGCTCAACCGCTACGCCACCAGGGGAGGCCCTCAAGTTTTACCTATTATAAATAGTGCTGCAATAAACATAGGGTACAGGTGTTCCTTTGAATTAATGGTTTTGTATCCTTTGGGTAGATCTCTAGGAGTGGAATTGCTGGGTCTTATGGTAGCCCCATTTTTAGTAGGCTGAAGAACCTCCAGACAGCTTTCCATAGTGATTGGACCAGTGTGCACACCCCACCAGCAATGTAGGAGAGTTCCTGGGTATGGCGATCACTTTTTGTTCTGATGTTCTGAGGACATAGGTGGAAGCAGTTAGGGAATCGGTAGTCAGCCAGGCAAGAGATGATGGGTGGCTTGGCCCAGGGTGGTGGCAGAAGGTGGTGAAACATAGTCTTGAAGGAATTTTGATGGCAGAACTGACAAGATTTGCTGATACAATGAACAAAGAATTGACACAAAAATATGTGCAGTATTGATACAAAGAAGTTTTTTTCTTGGATTGCAGAAAAAAAAGCTGATTTTGTCCTCCTGTGACACTGAAATAACAAATAGTAGCATAACTACCTAGAAATTCAGCTGTTGGAACTTGGAACTTTAGTGTCATCTATTATTTATCCCGAAGAACAGACAAAAGAGTGGTCAAATATAGTCAGTATCAAAATCTGTACTAGCAATTAAGGGAGCTGGTTTGGGGCTTGATCTTATTTCAGCACACTGACATGAGTGAGATAATTGTTCAGCAGACATAAACATTTCAAAGTAAAAATGACACTTATCCGTGAGGAGACTGTAAAGCTGATTGGGCAGTTACACAAAAGGGTAAACATTATTATCAAGAACAAAAGTCTCCCTGGATTTATCCTGACTGATGGTCTCTACTTCCAACTGATATGATAACTGCTCAGACTTTGACTTTGCCCATCCCACCACACTGAAAGCGCCCCGAAGCTTATGCAAGCTTGTGTTCTTGACTAACTGGTGTCTGGCCCACAGCAGGTGCACAAATACCATTAATCTAATGATTTCGTATGCTCTATCTTCTTCTCTTCTGTCCTTTCTGTATAGATTAGGGACATTTTGTATTGTTTTTTCTTTTTTTAACACCAAAGTTAGAGATCAGTCATTCATGGATATGAAATCTCAGTGTGCTTGGCTTTTGAGCAGGGCATGCCTGTGATGGGAGCGATCTGGAAGCCCTGGGAAGCTAAGGAAGTCCTCTGGGCGCTAGTGTAGGTGAAGACAAACTTGGAGGGAGCAGGTGTGAGAGGGTGAGCCAGGAGGAGAGGGCCTTCAAGTATAGGAAACCTGAGACTAAAGGGAACCGGAACCGGGCCTGATCAGGGTCGCTTGGCCCTTGGGGGCGATACACAAGGGCTGAAAGGTGGTTTTTCTAAATTAGAGCTGCAAACCCTCTGTGTTTTATGGCGCAATTTACAGAGCAGGCTGGAAGGGTCCCTCTGGTCTCACCGGACTCAGCCTGGCCTGGAAGGCACTGTGGGCGCCTTTGTGGCTACCTCCGGGGGGAGACCATGACCCAAGTCACTCCTTAGCTCACTCAAGTTCCCCCAGAGCCATTTCAGCTCACTTTCTCCCAATCTACAAGTCCATCTCTTTACCCCGAAAATAAACGATCGAAGTGCGTCCTCCAGACGCTAGCCTGCAGGACTTGTGTCTCGGGCTTTTTCAAAGCTATCGTCAAAGCGAGCAAGAACTGGCTGCCTCTGCGCTGAGGCGGCCCTTTCGACGCTCCAGATGAATGTCCTCTTTCGAGAACGGTCAGCAACACGACGGCCACGGCGCCAGGGTGTGAGCTGCTGCTCCGGAGGCGGCCAGGCCGGAGGCGGCCACTCACTTGCAGTCTCCGCAGGGGAAGCCCGAAAGTTTACGCCTCCCCCTAGAGTTCTCTGGCGCCGGAGAGGGTTCGGAACCCACCGGGTGCAGGCACTGCCTCTCCAAAGGCCGCGGCCGGTCCCAGGGTCGGCCCTTCGCAGAGGGGAAAAGTTGGGCGGGAGCGGGAAGGGGCCGGATCGCGGCCCCGCAGGCCGGGGAGGGCGCGTGGGGAGTCGGGTCGCCCCGGGCGCGCGCGGCCGGGGTGGAGCCAGCAGTGGGGCGCGGCGTCAGCGTTTAAAATGCAAATCGATTCTCCGCTCCGGCACCACCCCTCCCGCCGGGGGAGCGCGGCTCCGCCGCTCCGCAGCCGCCCACGCCTCCTGCGCGCCGCGGCGCCCCAGCCGGCGGCTCTACTTAAGCGGCGCGCCGGCCGCGGCCCGACACTCGCCTGGAGCGCGCGGACGAGGCGAGGCGAGGCGGCGGAGCGCACCGGGGCTCGCGGGGGCGCAGCGCGGCGCGCTTGCACCGCTGGGCTCCGAGCGGCTCTCGGCGGCGGCTGCGGCTGCGGCCGGGGTGCTGGGCTGAGCGGGCGTCCGGGGAAGGCGGCTGCGGCTCCCGCGCGCGGCCGCGCTCCCAGTCCCTGCTGCCACCCCGCCACCGCCGTGCCATGGCTCTGGCGGACAGCACACGTGGATTACCCAACGGGGGCGGCGGCGGGGGGGGCAACGGCTCCTCGTCGTCCTCGGCCGAGCCGCCGCTGTTCCCCGACATCGTGGAGCTGAACGTGGGGGGTCAGGTGTATGTGACCCGGCGCTGCACCGTCGTGTCGGTGCCCGACTCCTTGCTCTGGCGCATGTTCACGCAGCAGCAGCCGCAGGAGCTGGCCCGGGACAGCAAAGGCCGCTTCTTTCTGGACCGAGACGGCTTCCTCTTCCGCTACATCCTGGATTACCTGCGGGACCTGCAGCTCGTGCTGCCCGACTACTTCCCCGAGCGCAGCCGGCTGCAGCGCGAGGCCGAGTACTTCGAGCTGCCGGAGCTCGTGCGTCGCCTCGGGGCGCCCCAGCAGCCCGGCCCCGGGCCGCCGCCGCATTCAAGGCGCGGGGTGCACAAAGAGGGCTCCATGGGCGACGAGCTGCTGCCGCTCGGCTACGCGGAGTCGGAGCACCAGGAGGGCGCCTCGGCCGGGGCGCCGTCGCCCACGCTGGAGCTGGCGAGCCGCAGCCCGTCCGGGGGCGCGGTGGGGCCCCTGCTCACGCCCTCCCAGTCGCTGGACGGCAGCCGGCGCTCGGGCTACATCACCATCGGCTACCGCGGCTCCTACACCATCGGGCGGGACGCACAGGCAGACGCCAAGTTCCGGCGAGTGGCGCGCATCACCGTGTGCGGGAAGACGTCCCTGGCCAAGGAGGTGTTCGGGGACACTCTCAACGAGAGCCGGGACCCGGACCGGCCCCCGGAGCGCTACACCTCGCGCTATTACCTCAAGTTCAACTTCCTGGAGCAGGCTTTCGACAAGCTGTCCGAGTCGGGCTTCCACATGGTGGCGTGCAGTTCCACGGGCACCTGCGCCTTTGCCGGCAGCACCGACCAGAGCGAGGACAAGATCTGGACCAGCTACACCGAGTACGTCTTCTGCAGGGAGTGAGCCCCCCAGACCCCCGCGCGTCTCCAGCGCGCGTGATTCCTCTTTCCTGCGCGGGAGAGGATCAGTGCTCTCCTTCCCAACCACCCTCCTGTCCCCTTGTTCGCCACCTCCAGTAGCTGGGACCAGACCCACTGGCACCCCCACTTTAGAACCTGCAGCCGCGAATCCTCTGACTGAGAGCCCTGTCTTATTCCCCCCTCCCCGGCCTCCCAGCTCTGCCCCCCTGCTTCTCTGTCCCGGGCCTCTAGCCTTTCCTCTCCCATTGCCCTTCAGTCTGGATCTAGTGGGGGCAGAATGGCCACAGAGCCACCAAGTACATGGGAATAAATGACATGTTGAGAACCTGATTGGACCGTGTCCAGTGTGTCGAAGATTCCTTGAAATATTTTCAAGCCCTTGTGACTCATTCCAGCGTGAGAGAGAGGAATTGATAATGCTGTCTGGGGATAGCTAATGTTTTAAAGGTCATTATACAGTCTTGTCCACCCTCTTTAAAGGTAGTTTTAGGAGGCTGGATGGAAGAATCTGGGCCTGGAATCAGGATCCTATGAAGCAGTTCAGTGACTATACATGAATAAAGTTTCGAGAAGTTGTTACAGGTAAAAATAGGAGAAGCATCTAGTGCGGGCACAGTGAAGGAGCTTATCTTTTCCATGCAGAATTAAAGTTTTAACCTGTGGCCTAAACTTGTAGAGTGTTACCTTCGCTGGAGGAGTCTCCCTTTCTCCTGGCTCTTCGCCAGAAGCCTTCCATTGGACTGGTTGACATGGCAGCCCTTGTTGGCGGGAGAGCGAGAAAGCACGGCTGCTGGAGGGGACAAGACAGCCCAGGTCACCAAGCACTGTGGGCCATCACCTGGCGTTGACTGTAAACAGAACTGGGTAGTAATGCACGTCGTGGGTATTAGAAAAGCCCATATTCTTGCAGTGATTGGCAGTAGGACCTTAGCTCTTAAGACTTGGGGGTGGGAGGGGTGGGTAAGATGGGTGGGAAGTGGGGAGCAGACATAATTCATTTATTGTTTGGAAGTTTGTACCATCTATTTGAGTACTTACACATTTATAAAATATAGTACACAAGACTTGCACAGCATTTTATAAAGATTCGTAACATCTACTCTTAACCGGCAGTTTATTGAATTAACTGTTTTGAGTCCTAAGCTTAGAAGTTGTTGATACTTATATAACCTAACCAAAGATTTGCCCAGTGGGGTTTTAGTTTTTGAACTTATTTCTTGATGATTATATCCTGATTTAAAAATTTTCCTACTTGGGGAAAATATATTTGATTTTTGTTAACTTAGACTTAAGATTTCTAATTTAAAAAAAAAAACAAAAAACAAAAAACCCTTTTATTCCCCAAGCCCAACTATGTTGACAACTGGGCATACCTGAAAATGCCACTTCTTTCATGCAGGTTGTTTGAAGAGAAGAGAGAGTCATTTTGAGTGACAGAACTGCAGAGTAACAAAAGCATTGAGGGCTGCCCATCTGTAGATAGAAAGCTGGAAAATGAAGTATTTTTAAACAAAGGCAGAAAAGTGCTTAAAAGTGAGCTGAGCAATAAAATGGTGTTTTAGGTAAATGCAACAGAAACAGAAGGAGACCTGGTTGCCTTATTCCTTTACTCTGACATGGAACAAATTCCCACTGCTTACCCTATTTATACCATAAGTAAATGGAAATGAATCCTTGTCTTTCATGCTGTGAGACTCCTTTGGATATTCTGTGATGACAAAGAAGCCTTTCTTCTTTTTGTTCGTTTCAACATCTTACTCTGAAATATGTTTTTAAAGATTTTGTAAGAGTTGTTTTCAGTGTTTTAATTAGTGCTGTTTTTCCTTCTTTTTAAAAATGAAACTTGTACTGTGTCTATGTCCATAACAGATGTTAAGAATTGGGACAGTTTTATTCTTACACTCATGTAATTCAATCTGTATATACCATACATGAACATTTTACATGAATCATTTAGTTTTTTAATTCATTTACTAATACTATAAAATTTACTGTATTTACCCCCAGTAACTTGCATCAGATGGTGTATCTATTAAAGCAACATGTTTTGATGAATTTCTTACTCTTTGTCTATGGGGAAATTGGGTTAGGAAAACTTACATAATTATACAACTACTTTGCTCCATTCTTTTGCTTGGATATTAGTTGTTGTAGACTGATGTCAATTTAACTGCTCAAAAAATCAAGGTACCTGTATTTTCAATCCACTAATACTTTTTTTTTTTTTAACTGAGAAAGATTGGAAGTCTACACTTTTAGAAAAGTAAAGTTAGCTTTGCATACAAAAACTATAATCATAAAGGAAATGGGAGCAAAGATATAGAAAGTTGTGTTTGCTTGTATATGGGGTAAGTTCTCAGATTAGCTAATGCTTCAGAATGTATGTTTGTTTCAAGCCTGAAAGGATTTACGACTGTTGCCGGCCAAAAGTGAGTGTCACAGAGATTTTCTCCACCTCGTATGGTGTTTTGTGAGAATGTTCAACAAAAACCCACATAATTGAGAACATCTCAGGACAGATTGAAACCATTGACAGATGGCAAGACTCGGGATTCTAATTTCTAATTTTCCTCGTTAAATCGTCACAAATCCGGGAGGAACGGGAAACTTTTGAAGTTCTGTCTCTGCCACTCAAGTCTCACGAATTTTACCTTGTAAAACTTTGAATTGAGTTATTGCACTGCTTTGTCGGAACACATCTTGTTCCCCCCCAAACCTTTGCTGCTCTGCAGTGTTCCCACTACCCCTTTGATTATCTTAAAGCCTTGGAATTTTTTAATGATTAGACAGTCAACTCATCTGTTTTTCTAGGAATCACTGTCCTCTCTAAGATTGAAGATTGGCACATGAAATCATGGTACTTTTAGCCCAAAGTGAAGGTAGGAAACTCACTTTGCTTTGGGGAGCCAGTGTAGCTGAGGTAAGCTGGCTTGGCATGGGCACTTTTGGGTCCCATTCCGTCCATGAGCTTTGGCCACAAAAAGATCCTTAGTGGTCTACAGAGTGAGCTAGAGGGTTGGTGGTGACCTATCATCCTGGATGGGATAGTGAGATCCATGTGGTTAAGCCCTCCAAAGACACCTTATAAATAACCTGGGAGAATAGCATATATTAGTGAGCTAATTATGACTGCATCAATCTGATTCAGTGTAGGATGTATTTATATATATAATGGCTAATTAACATTTGGTTCATAGATACAACTGAGTTACATTAGGTTTTAATGATAAATTTTTAAAAAAGGTTTGTTGATGGTTAAAATAACAGGTACCATGTTTAATACTCTAGCACCAAGTGTTGACAAGTTGTCTATTTTTTTAATACATACAGTGTGTAAATCATATGCATTCTGATTTTTTGAATATTGTAGAAAATATTCCTTGAAGGTGTGACACTTAAGACACTTTTTCCCTTTCAATGCTGTTTTTAATGTGTTTCTTTTTAGGATGTTTGCATTGACAGCAAAGGGATAGTTTATAACTTAGCCAAAATTGTCTCCTCTTTCAAACCAGATCATATATGTATGGCATCTGTTGCTTCTCTGAGGAAATGCAAAATCTATGAGTACTCAGACAAAATGGGCAACTGGCAATGCTCATTATATTCCAAATTTCATTGGAAATTTCCATGGAATGTTATTACACCAAGCCATGTGAAGCTTTGATAATTTTTTACTTTTTGAATTATGGTAAATTCTAATAGTCAAAAAATTTTTGTATTTTTCATGAAAATCGCTAAATTGTGCAGGCATTTAGAAAAGTGTTGAGTGGGGGGGTTGAATTCCTTAAGAATTTCTTTTGTAGTTGAAATCATAGATACTTTACTCAATTGACTTAAAATTTTAAAGTAGTAAACTAAACATTTTTATTATAAACCTACCAGAGAAAATCCTTTGTAATTTTTTTTCTGTTTTTTCCTTACTATAACTCATTTAAAAACTGAATTAGTTTTCATAGGTGACCTAAGTCTGTTTATTGAAAAATATATAAATACTCTTGTATTTCCAGTGACTATAGTACCTGAAATAGGGTTTCTAGAGACAGAAATGAGTTATGTAGAAGTTAGCTTTTCTTTGTCACATTTTTTTTAAAAATACAGTTATTTTTTATTGAATTAGCAGTTTATAACACTGTGTATGATTTAGGGGTCAGATAGGTTCACACATCTTCAGATGTCTTTGTTACAATTTTGAATAATAAAATCCAAAAATATTAACATTTGAAGTTTTAGATTCTATACTGGGATTTTAAGACTTAGATGGAAGAAATTCCACCAGAATATCTACATTAACTTTGTGTGGTAGGAAAATGGACTAGTTGACCAATAATTCTTGTCACCTTACACATTTTGTGATTTTTTTTTTCCCCAACCAAGTTTTAAAAAAAAAAAAATTTGAATGTGTTTTGAGGTATGTGAACATGATCTGTAATGTAAACTATTATACAACTGTCTTTGTGACTTTATAGTTAGGTAAATTTTGCTATTGAATACAAATGACGACAATTCATTACGATCACTTAAATAGCAGTAACAAAGGGTGGAAGCATCCCCTCATGGATGTTGATTTTGAAGATGTAAAATTTGTTATTTAAATTTTTCTGGGCATCTGAAAAATCTTATCTGCTAAACAATGTAAGATTTCCACGGAGCTATCTGGGATTATGAAATTGCTCAAAATTTTATATGCTAAGTGATGCATATCACTGAGTCATTTTCTCAAAATAGAAGGGGAAAGAAAAAAAAAAACACATAAGATTATCAGACTTTTCTAATGAAGCAGAAAGCCAAGGAAAAAAAATTCCCTCTATATTTAAAAGAAGATGCTGATGAAGTCTTTTCAGACATGCCCAAGCTCTAAATGAGAATTTCTTCAACTATCTAAATGCTCTAGAGAATTTTGTGTTCCCTGTTCACAATCAGTTGTATAACAGAAATACTCAATACTGTTTTCTTCCTGTGTGTGAAGTAATGAATCATTGATTATGTGACTTGTTATATATTCTATTAAACACTAAAGAATAAAACATTCACTCCTTTACTTATTCCTCTTGGCTACTGGCTACTGGGTATGGATTGTCTTGAACACCAGCCCAATTTCATTGAAGTGTTCTCTAAATACTGGGAATGCTTCTCAAATTGTGTGGGGCTAATGATGAGCATTATGCCATCAGAACTCCTTCCTGAGTCATTGCCAGGTGGGCCAGGAGCAAACAGTCTCTTCCCCCAGAGTTTATTGTCAAGGACGCCTTGCCAAGGTGGTTTGGTACCTGGAGGAAAGGTCCTTTGATTTTCTTTGACCTCAGTGTTTACACCACATATGAATTGTTTTGAAAGTAAGGAATTTAGGTAGAGATGCTGTCTTACAGTTAGGAGGGAAAAGGAGATAGAAGCTGTGAGAAATGCTATAATTCAATGTCTAATTAATGAAGATAAATTCTAAAGAATGTTGGGAGGGATTTTCATTTTTGATTGAGGGACTCTTTCCTCAATCATCTCCAGTTATTGAAGCCTCCTGAAATGAGAAATTACAGACGCAGGGATCAGGCAACACCAGAAGGGTTTGCTGGGATATGGCACAGGAAGCCATGAGGCGGTGTGGAGAGTGAGCAGGCTTCGCCCTTCCTCTTTGCTTTTGCCTGCACTTCCTCTAGAGAGCTTTTGTTTTTAAAGTATGTGTGTGTGTGTGTGTGTGTGTGTGCGCGCGCGCGCGCGTGCCTGTAAGTACAAACATACAGGTTTTTTTGGGAAAGTTCATGGTGAAAATTTTAAGCAATACAGTCTATATAAAGTAAATCTCCCTCCTCCAGTATGCCTAGCTTTTTCCCAGGGGTAACCATTGGTGTATCTTTATGGAAAGAGTCTATGCAGCTATGAATACATATGTATTCTTCCCCTTTTCTCTGTTCAGTGAGGAATTATACCTGCATATGCCTTGTTTTCTTCTTTTAAGCACATATCCTGGAGCTCTTGCAATGTATGCACGAACACATGGTAGTGATCTATCTGCCTCATTTTACTTGCTCGCTCCTTGATATTCTGAAGGATGTGTCATTGTGTACATGTCCCATTATTTACTTGTCCTTTCTTGATGCACATTTAAGTTTCCAGGTTTTTTGTTTCCTTTTTAAAGAATGCTGTATTGAATGTTTATGTATATGTGCAAATGTAAATGAGTCTTGTTAGAAGTAGTGAGGCCAAGAGAGGGATGACACGGAGGTAGGTTTTTTTCTTTAGGGGCTATGGAAATAGTAGGATTCACTGGATGTTCTCAAGGGAATGGGACTGGTGTGGTATTAAATAGCTCTACAATTCCTTGGCATACACGTGTGAAGTTCTACACAGCTTTCATATAGATAATGAGCACCCCTGCCCCACCTTTTTCCTTTTTCCCAGGGTCCTATTTTTATTCTAGTGTTTTTTTTTTTCCCATGAATTATGACCGACACTTGATTTTTAGGAATATAAGATATGAATAGGAGCTGTAATATAATCCATACTTCTTAAGATGGCATCCCTGGGATTGCTGGGAAAGAAAGGGAGCAATAGAATAAATATGGGGCACATTCCTAGGGTATCAGTTTGACTACTAGAAGTTTATTTGTATTGGGGAATTAAGTCATTTAACTGGCAATTCACAAAGATGCTTTATTTATGGAAGAATGATAAATTTACATGAATTTAGAAGACAAAACCTAAATATTGAAGATATCTTGAATTTGTAGAATTTTAGGGAAAAAATCACCCACTTCTGCTATTCTGAACTTGGTGTTGGTGGAGGCAGTGGTGATGAAGTCCTGGTATGTGCTAGACTTGCTTTTTGATGGATACTGCAGGGGGAAAGTTAGTCTATAAAGTTCCCGGCCCTCATCTGCTCACAAAAGAAGTTTCAAGGTCAGTAGCCTTTTGGGGTCAGAATGAACCTCTCTGAGAGTGGTCTGTCAGGTTAAATAGAAAGGAGGTGTTCAGGGCCGCTTTAGGATATTAATTCTCAACGGGGCTACAACTTGCTCCATCTACAACCATTCAGTATTTGTTCATTCAAAATATTTCTCATACCTACTATGTACCAAACTATACCAAGCTGACAGGGACACAGAAATGAGTAGGTGCTGAGGATTAGAAGGGAGCTGAAGAATGATAAAATAATATGGAAAAGCAGTGTCTGATAGTCTGAGTGACTGTAAGAGCAAGAAACGGGCACGTCAGACTCACATCTTAGGTTCCCTAGAGGAGGAGTTGCTGGTCTGAGGCCTAATGGTAAAGAAGAGGGAGAGGAGTTACCTTCTAAGCACAGACCTGTGGCTGGAGAATAGTAAGGGCCCAGAATTTTTTGAACCAGAACTTTAAAGTAAGTACCAGAACATTCTGGCAAGGAACCCTGTCCAGTCCCCTAAAAGAAAAAGAATAAGAAAAAGCAAACAATCCCCCACCCCAACCTCCCCAATCAAACAAGCAACTGGAGAAGCAGTAAGTTGCATCAGAAAGAGCCTCATGTACTGTGCTATGGACTGGGATGTCAGTTTTTGGGGTTTTCTAAATAATTCAAATCAGGTGTGAAATAACCAGTTACATTTTGCAAAGACCACTGGGAGCCCTGTGGGGAGAAGCATTTGATGGGCCTAGGGAGGTAGAAGCTAGTTAGGCAGTTGTTGATGGGATAAGATTTATGGGTTCATGTGCATGAGACCACAAGTAGAGCACCTGGCGACAGAGGTGGGCTCAGCTTTTGTTCACCTTTCTTCTCCCTTCAAATCTCAGGCCTTCCAGAGTTTTATGTGGAAATGTTTGCAATATCACGGGAGCACTATGTTTGAGTTAGGAACTCTTAATCCCTCAATCACTTCATCAAGAGACACATTATGGAGTCATTAGAGAGATCTGTTATTTGAAGCTCCTTTATTGTACCTATGTATTCATATTGTACCTACTGACTGCCTTCCAACAATCATTTATTGAGCCCCTAATATATTTAAAACATAGTCTTCTTCTTTCAGGTATGTTTTCTTTACCTTCAATAATAGAGAACAAAATGATTAAAGAAACATTATTTCTGCAACTACCAGAAATCACAGAAAACTTAGCATTGTTGGATCTTATGTTATGAACTTTGTATGTATAGAGTTTCATGAACATTACCTGTCCTCCACAGTTCTTTTAAATATATTTAATAGCTACTGAGAAAGGGTTTTATTCATGTTTTACAGAGTGAAAATGATGAAGTACAGTAATGATATATTCTAAAATGAGATATTTGGACTTAACATTTTCCCAAGTTATTTATAAATGATTCCTCATTAGTTCACTCTTTCTCCTTTCTGTTGCTTTCTAGGTGGGTAAGAGGAAGAATCTAAAGTTAGAGCAAGCACCAAATTCTGTTTATAGAAAGCTAAAGGCAGTAGATAGCTTTTTGCTCAGCCTTTATATTATTTGGAAAGCATTGGTAGCAATCACACTTTGTAGTGAGAGGAATGTGAAGGAAATAAAACTAGGATTTTGGACTCCTAGGTCACTTCGGTTGTTTCTACTTTATGATGTTGTCTTAACCTTCACTCATCCTTGACACCCACCCATAGGAGGGGAAAAAATAATTACTTTTTTTTGTATTTGCCTTAAGGCTCAACACAGTGCCAAACACATAATACGACATCAGTACAAGATTGTTGAATAAGTGAATAAATACCTATATTCATCATTTTGTTCATATTATGGTGAAAAGAACTATTAAAATTTGTCTTTTACTTTTGTGTAGTACTAAGACTTAAAAATTCCTCTTTTCATATAATACCCATCATACCTTTTTTTTGAGAAATTATGACTGTACTTTTATAAGTAAACACATCAAATGGCTATTCTTCTATCTGACTTCAAAGTCACAGTGATTTTGATGAGACCTAAACTGATTTGGGTATTTTTTCTGAATAGTTATTAGGTGGCAGCTGTTCCAAAGCCCAAAACACTTGACAATGTTTCTCTTTTATGGAAGTCAAGTTCACTGACAGCCATATTATAGGCTTTCCTCTGGGGCTATTATTTGGTACAGTGTTTTGAAAATCTAAACTGCAAAGTTTCCAGAGGTGCCTCTTAGGAGTTGCAGGAAAGAAATTTGACCTCTCTGATATGCTGGAGTGTACGGTTCCAAATGTTCTGCTGGTGAGAGTTGTGGGTTTTTAGAATGACAGTTGCAAGGACTTTTAAAAATTAAATGATCCATGCAATGATGCTCAGACCTAACAATCTGTAGGGTTTTTTTTTCTGTTCAGAATGACGTGTGTCCAACATCTAAGTTCTTTCCATGAGCTAGTGTCAGAAACACAGATATTAGGTCAAAGTGGTGCCTGCTAAATTTGAGATGTAAGATGTAAGAAACAGCAACAGTGCTACAGACTAAATATTTGTGTCCCTCCAAAATTCGTGAAATCCTAATCCAAATGTGATGGTATTAGGAGGTGGGGGCCTTTGGGAAGCAATTAGGCCATGAGGGTAGAACCCTTATGAATGGGATTAGTGCTTTTATAAGAGACCCTGAGAGCGTCCTTGTTCATTCTACCTGTGAGGACACAATGAAAATAGGGCCATTCATGAACAAGAAAGAGGCTTTTCATCAGACACTGAATCCACGTTGATCTGGGATTCCCCAGCCTCCAGAACTGTGAAAAGTACAAGTTTTTGTTTAAATCCCCCAGCCCATAGTATTTTTGTTCCAGCAGCCTGACGACAACAAAGTTTCACACCTGTGAAGCTTCATTATACTGTATTTTCTCTCTGCAATGCATAGTCTTTCTCTCAGTGTCTTAGAAGAATTTTCAAAGAAGTTTCATATTGTTATTATGTGGTTTAATTCTAGGGTTGACTTTTTTTGGGGACAAATAAGGCAAACCAGTGCTTCTGAGTTAGTTTCTGGATCTAATAGGTACAACAGCTTTTGGGGTCTCAATCTTTTGACATTTGTCTTTAACCTACACTGTGAACTTAGACATAACCATTAAGTCTACCATAACCCTTAAGTTAAAAGGACAATATTAACTTTCATTTAGCTGTGCAAAATTAATCAGG